TCCTCCCACATTCTATCTTGAGATTGTGATTAAATGCAGATTCCATGACAATAACATCAGCCACCTTTTTCCTCCCAACTCCATTTTGCTTGGTTTACCATCTTTCTTTATGAGTCATGAACTCAGAAACTTGCACATTGTTTTGTTATCTTTGAATTGGCCTAATAAAAAGTAGTGCCCTAATATGGATTTTGGAATTCACCCAACAGTTAAGGCAGCTATCTATGTTTCTGTTAAAACATTAAAAAGTTAGATTTGACAAAAAAAAGGAATCCTCCCTGCAAAATATTTATTTGTTTCATTGCTTTAAAAGTTCAATAAATGTTAAATCTATGGTCCTGGCCAAAATCTTTATTCTTACTCTGATCATTCATTTTGAACTTTTCTATTTAACTCTGGAGGAGATCAGCTCTTTTATGAAAACTGATGCAAAGTTACTGAAATAATTCATTAAGTCAAAAGATGTCCAACAAGCATCATTTTATTGATCTATGCTTTAAATATTTTGAGCAATTTACTTGGTACAATTTTACTTTATCCTACTAATTTATACAAATAAACCCTATATATTGAAACATGGTTCATTTTGAACTTAGCAGAGTTTTGTTTGTCCTGCTATATTGTCTCCTAGATTGCCCTGCTTCAGAGGGAGGCATCTGAGTTCTCACAGGCACCAATGCATCCAGAGAAACATAGTGTGGTGCCCATCACAGTGTGATGTTGTACCTAATTTTTTCAAACAATACACATTTTCTTAGCAGCAATTTAGACTGCTGTACAGATTTTTGTTGCTGCCGCCATTTTGGCATACTGGGGCTCACACTGCATCTCTTGTCTTGTCCTTTCCCTTTCCCTCCAGGGTAGCCATTTTGTTATGGAACAATTTCTAAATTGCTAAATATGTCTACAGCCCAAAAAGACTGACTAGCCTGCTCTGCTTGAAAGGCAACTACTTTAACCATAACAGGTATATTCAATGAGCATTAATGAGATGGTTTATGGGTATTTTCAGAATAGGCCTTCATTTGAAACATAATAAACAAGGACTCTTTCCCAGAACTAGCTCAACTCTGAACATATGTAATAGCACTCTTAAACATTTCACAGATTAAATCAAGGACATGCACAACACCACTGTTCATGTCATGTATTGATGATCACTGACTAATCCAGTTCTCCCAAACTGATGCCATCCAGGTGTTTAAGGCATCAACTCCCACTGACGCTAGCTAACATAGCTAATAGTAAGGAACTCTGGCAGTTGTATTCCTAACCATCTGTAAGTCATTAGGCTGTGGATCCCTGGCCTAAGGCTTTATACCCTTCACATTGTACAAGGCCTCTACTCTTGGTCTGTTGTATTCCTTTACACTGCAATAGCCTGACATAATCTGTTCACAAGCCAAGAAGAGGTATGCCCTATAATTAGCAACAGAAGTGGTTTGCCCTACATATACAACAAAAGACGCATGCAGAGGTTTAACTTATAGCGATCCTGAGGAAACGGCTAAATCCTGAAGAATGATAACAAATTTAGCCACTCATATTGAAAACAAAATAAAAAGACGCCCTTAAAGGGGAAAAGTGATAAAATAGGGAGAATGACTGATCAATAACAGGCACCAGAATACAGTTGGATCAAATGCAAAATATATTTTTAAAAGTAAAACTGGAGGATAAACAAATTTCATTAATGTGTCCACTGAATAACTCAGTGCAAATCCTTGTACATCTGAGATGGAGGAGAAAAAATCTTAGATAAGAATGTCTATTATTATTTTTTAATAACATAAATAATGAAACAATTATCTATATCACAAAAGAACACTGTATTTTCATTTTCTCCAAAAAACTTAAAACTCAGTCCCTAAGTAACTACACAAGATAAAGATAAAAACCATTTTTGGCACTCTCTAATAAGCGTTCATTTTAGACATGTCAAACTTCAGCATACAGGAAGTGAACATTTGGTTATTTTTACTTCTACCACAATGTATAGTAGCAACAGCTCAAACAAATACTTAAACATGGGAGTCAACCACAGTGCAAAACACAGTTGCTGTTAAAACCCTTAGTTCCAAAAATTTTTTAAATATTAAGATAAAGGTAGCCACTCTAGTTATAAGAAAAATGCCCAAATCCATACTAGGTAAAGAGGAGAAATAAGATACAATTACTATCAAGTCAGCCTGCCCTCACCCTCTTTTTCCTCACCTCCCAATCAGTTTTTGTAACATCTTACCTTTAGATTTTAGAATTTTAAAACATGTCAGTTTATAAGATGCCATAAACACTGTGACACCTAAAATGATTTGCTGGGTCACTATTGTGAGGTCCCGCAGCTGAGTAGCAAGAATACTGCTACCAAAATAGTACATATTCCAGTTGTACGGATTTTTTAAAAATGTTCTAAACAACCTAAGTTAAAAAATGCATTTGTAAAATCACTGATAGCATTTATTTTCTTTTGGCAATTCGAAATCCTCTCCTAGTTTGCCATTCTGGGTTATATACCTAGGGACATATCCCTTTCCCATTAGGATTACACCCATGGCATTCACTACAGCAACACTAAACACTTTTCAACGCACAGGCTTTTGAGTTATTTTTCTAAAATGCAAATAGAGATCTAAAATATGCTCAAAATACATAAAATATGCACAAGCTGGCTCTGAAACCTATCTGGCAAAGTCACAATTTGCAATATATAAAATCAAACAGGCCCATTTTTTCAAGACTCTGGTTCTGAAAATGAACATAATAATTTGAGATATGTGAGAAATCCACTTCTGGAGTGAGAATCTCCCAGATTCCCTTGGGCTCAGCTCACCAGGCTCAGGCCCACTTTCTTGGTGCTGCAAGTCTGAATTCCTGGTGAATGTGCCAAGCATTCGCACAGGGCTTGCCAAAAATAGAGCCACATGCAACCACTGTGCAAATGGCATCCCTTTTCAATGCACATGCTTTGCAGCCTCTCTGCTACATGAGACACGGAAGAAGGTTGCAGGTTGTGCAACTGGGGTTTCAGAAGTGTTTGTAGATTTTTTTCGCAGCTCAGCTTGTTTTCTAAGCCAGGGCTAAACACACGAGGAAGTCTGCAAACAGAGGAGTGGCAGATTCCACTTAGCTTTGTCACAACATTGACAACAATAAGCGACTACCAGTTAAGCCAGTCTGCCTCTTGGATGTACACCTTAATGTAGTGAGCGGTGTCAGAGTGTCAGAGAAGTTGAGAGTAATGCCTTCATGAAGCCAGACTAGTCTAATTAGTCTGGTGTCCTAGGAGGACCATCCATGGCCAAATGGTCAAAGATACCAGACTAAGATGCTTCTACTCTCTTCAAGAGTAATGATCACATCAGCAGGAAAAAAGATAACTCTAATGGTGACAGAAGCAAAGAAACTTCTGAAAGGCAGTTAACAGACAGCATCAGCAGTTGAACATAATGCTAGTGGAGGATCTTTCACAAATAATGGCATGACACTTGAGCTAAGTCTGATTATTACTGTACAAGAGAAAGCAATGGTAAACTACTTCTGAATATTCTTATCCTGTAAACCCTACAATGAAATAATCCAAAACGAAACAAGAGTTAATGTAAGAAGGTCATAATCCCAGGTTGGAAGGCACTCATCCAGTGACTAGGGAAGGGCAAAGGACAAGTACAAATAGTTTTGTCAATAATGGCACAACTAGATCAAAGCTGAAAGAAAGTCTAGTGGCTGAGATGTCTATAGAGGCAATGGAAAGTCTGGTGCTGCATAACACACCATCAGAACATGGAAAGCAAAAAGTGGTAAACTGGAACTATAAAGCAAGAAATGGAATGGTGAAACATTGTAGAACTTGGTGTAAGTTAACTAAAGTAGACCGGAATGGGATATTTTCAGTCAAACACAAAGCATTTTACTCTGGAAATGACAAGTTCAGAAGAAATGCAGACGCTCTAATATTGAGACACAAAGTAGCACAACAATAAGGGGTTATGATGCA